GTCCAGCATGCGCACCTCCACCTGAGGAGAGGGGGCTGCTGAGTGCTCAGAGGGCGTGGAGGTCTCTGAGGTGCTCTCATCCCGGCTTTTCTGGGAGAAGGAGAAGCGTTTGACAATCACCTGGGAGTTCTGCTTGGCCAAGGAGCCAAACTTGGCTGCCCGCTGCAGCACCGAGCCCTTGAAGTTGGTATCGTCCGCCTTGAGATCGTCGCTGGAGCTGGCCGTGCTCAGGTGGCCTGAGTCCAAGATGATGCTGCCCCGGTTGCTGTCGGAGTCAATATCTGTGAGGTGCAGCTCAGAGCCACTGGCCACTTTAATGGGGATGGGGTTGGAGATCTCCAGGCGGGTCTTGGAGTCCCGCTTGGAGGCACGGTTGAGGTTGAAGAAGCCCCGGCGCATGCTCATCTCCTCCAGGCTCTTGAGTTCAGCTGCTGACATTCGCTCCTTTTTCTCTTTCTTCTTCTCCTTCCGGGCCCCATCCTTCTCTTTGTCCTTCTTCATCAGGTTGAACATGGTGGATGAGGGCTTGGGGCACTCTTGCCCCCACGGCAGGGCACTGGGCTGGGGCGCCGGTCACGGCACAGCCGCCTGTGCAGAAGGACAGACAGGAAGGTGCCATGAGAGAGCAGCACAGCCAACACCCATCCACCACCCCTCCATCCACCCCACTGGTCATGCCAGCTGCCACCCCCAGCCCCTGAGCCATGTTCCAGCATTCCCACCCTCCCTGGGGATTGTAGCACCACAGGGCTGAGACTGCCGCAGTCGATGTGTCCTCACCCCGGCTAGGCATCAAGCCCCAGGGATGCAACAAGGATGGCCCTGTACCCCCAGGGTCACCCCAAAAGAAGCCCAGAAGCCTGGCAGTGCCCAGCACTAGGGCTGACTGCAGGCAAGACCCTCAGCAGCTCAGGAGGCATTTTGGAGCAGCATGGGTGGGCAGGGAAGAAAATATCCTGGTGGCTTTTGCAGCAGTTACTGCCGGCAGGGACATTCCCCAGGGCAAAACCCCCATCCCATCCAGCCACAAACGTCCTGCTTGCTGTTCAAAAGCCCCTTGTTGAGGAAACAGAGGCCTTTCTGCTGCTCATCCTGGCTCTGGCCACCGCAAACCACAGGGGCTGCCGTGGGCAGAATCCCCACCAGGGAGGAGCCGGAAACACGGCCTGGAGTGAAGGTTGCTCTAATAAACAGGAACCTGTAAAATCACATCCCTCCCAACACTGATAAGTGTCTAATTTTAGCCAGGGCGACGCAGAGGCTCGTGACGCTGCCGGCGACCTCCAGGAACAGTGGCTCTTTCATTTGGGCATCCCGCGCAGAGCGGGGGGAGCGCCCAGTGCCAGTGGGAAAACCGTGGCTGGGCAGAAAACTCCTGGAAAATCCCGTGTGCATGCAGTGCCTGGGGACAGCCAGTGCCTTGGGGTACCCACAGCCTCACCCTGCACGGGGGGCTGTGGCACTCCTCTGCCCCTGGGGTGACTGGTGGCCCCCCCTCAGCCTCCATCGAGCGCTTGGGCTGTGGATAAACAACTCCAAAGTGGAGCAGGCGGCTGGCAGTGCCTGCAGGACGGGCTGACAGCTATATATAACAGGGCAGGAAACTGCACAGGAACTTAACCTCAGCACAAAGGACAACAGGAAAGCTCCCCACGTTTGAAGCATCTGCTTTAGAGCTCTCCGACGGGTGTGGGGATGAGGTTTGGGCAGCCATAGGGATGGGCAGTGCAGCTCTGCCTGGGGTGCATGGATGTGCTGTGCTGTGCCAAGCTGCACCTTGGCTCCAGCACAGCATCAGCACTGCATCACCATCACTGCCTGGACCATCTCCCTGCAAGGACACATGGTCTGCACTGCCCTTGAACACACCCAGTGGGACAAGGGAAACCCGTTTTCCTCTTGACAAAGCCATCCAGGGATGGCAGGGAACTCCCAGAACCTCGCTGCCCCTCGGGGCTGGGACAGGAGCACACGTGCCCGGGAGAGGCCTGGCCACAGGGCAGGTGAGGACAGAGCCCTGCAAGCCATGGCACAGTGCTGGCCCTGGGTGTGTGATACCTCTGAGGCACTGAGGGGAAGCAGCCTGAGGGACAAGGTCAGGCTTGCAAGGCTCCTGGCCATGGCCAGAAGGGCTGCCACAGTTGTGCTCACACCATCCAGCCCCAGGGTTCTGGCTGCTCTGCCCTCCCTGCAGCAACTGGGGCTTTACCCAGACCCACAGCAGGACCTGGGCAGGGCAGGGCCCCAAAACACATGAAAACACCCCACTTCCTTTCTCCTCTCCCAGAACTGCTGGCTGTGGGGTGATCACTGACCCGAACCAGGGGACAGCCCCTTCTCATGCCCACAGCAGGTGCTGCCACAAAGGGCACCATGGCCATGCCATCCTGGGGCCTGCTCCCTTGTGCCAGGACCTCAGCACAGACAATGGCAGGGAGAGAACCTGCACCTGCTCCTGTCCCCGCTGTGGGACACATGCCACTGCTACCACAGCCACCTGGGCATCCCTGAAGCTGCACAAAAGGGCTGCACCCCTGGCAGCACCCAGTGCTCACCTGGGGCAGGGAGGGGGCTGCAGGGATCCTTCCCGGGGGTCCCTTGGGAGCAGAGCCACTCGCCAGGCAGGTGCTGTTGGAGCCAGGGCGCCAGGAGCCGGGCGGCCAGCGCGCTCTTTGTCCTCGGTGGTTTCTCTCCCGGCACACAGGCTGCCTCCCAGCCTTTGTACGCTCAACAAAAAGGGGGAACAGTGTTCCCAGCCGCATCGCTAATCAGGCAGCACTGGCGGCCACTGCCGCAGCCACGTGTGCCCCACTCAGGGCCACAATAGGCAGCAGTGGGGCAGGCACACAGGACTCTGTGGGCTGGGGAAAGCACCGCAGCATCCGCCCTGCACTGATGTCCCCAGCCCATGTGTTGTGCCATTGTGGTTTGCTCCCTTTTCCCCAAGCAGCCTCCCGCCACGGATGGGTGCAGCCCGATGCCGTGAGCAGGAGGAGGCTGCTGAGCCGAGCAGCTCCTGAATTTCTGATTCAGACCCAAGACGCCTTCCCTGGCTCAGCCCGGGCTTGCTCCGGGACTCCCCTCGGCCAGGCGTGAGCATGAGCCCTGACAGGGAAGGGAGAGGCACCCGCCGGCGCTCTGGGATCGCACGCGAGGATGCTGCTGTGACACTGGGCTGGCAAAGATGAGGACATCACCTTGGAAGGGCCAGATGGCAGAAAGGGAGCCGCATCTCACCGCTCCCCAAGCCAAAACCCTCCCAGAGCCACCTTCCCCCATGTCCCCCCAGCAGAGCCAGCAGCCCCTGTGTCCCTGCCAGGGCGCCGGGGAGGTGCAGGCAGGGAGGAAGGCGTTCACTGAAACTCCCAGCCACTCCTTCCCTCCTCGAGACGCAATCTCGTCCGACACGCTCCCGCGCAGGGACCTGCACGGCGAGTTCCACGCTCGCCTGCCCTCCCTGCTCTGCTCCCCGATGCCGGCAGTGGGGCTCTGCTCCCACACCACTTTGGCACACGAGCTGGTGGCTGTGCCCTCCTCGGGCACACCGTGTTGGGGCAGCTCATGGCCTAGCTGTGCCCAGCCAGGAAGGGATGATTCCATGCCAGGGAACAGGAGCTGCTGGCAGCGATTCCGAGCAGGCAGGCCAGCTCCTATGCAGGGCAAGTGGGAGCTGACCTGCGCGATGGCTCCTTGCTGAACACAAGTTTTCCACAGAACAAGGAAATTTAGGGGGTTTCCAAATTCCTCTGCAGTGCCTTCACTTATGGACAATGCTGGAATGTGTTGAGAGGAAAACAATCCCGGATCTACCTGACTCACAGCCAGGATGTGCTACCAGGCTCTCCCCAGAGCAGGATTTCAGGCCCTCCTGCTGCAGGAACCCCATGTCCAACAGCAAAGGGGACCCAGACTGGTTATGAGGGGTCACCCCAGGCCAGGAGGGTGCATGGGGTGCAAGCACCTGCCTCGCCCCAAAGCTGGGAATGACACAGTTCAAGAGGTCTAACAGGATAGACCTAGAGGTAATGGGGCAGGATCTTGGCAGGGCTGCCAGGTGGGACGTGGTTCCATGACCAGCTGGAGGGGTCAGGTGGGTTGCAGCCCCGTTAGCACAAGGCACACAGCTTCCTCATCATCACCCTTATCTGGCCCCAAATTCACAGCCTGGTGCCCTGCATGGCCCAGCCCACAGCAAAGGTGAAGGGCCGAGCCACAGCTTGTCAGGGGCAAAGTCCAGGGCTGGTGCAGGTGCTGTGGGAACACCCAGATCCCGATGGGAGCTGGGATGGGGCAGTGGGCAGAGGTCCCCCAGTATCAGAGTGCCAGGGCCAGCCTTGGGGTGTAGGAATACACTGCCATGTGCCCACACTCTCCTGTAATTGCCCTAAGTTTAGCTCTGGCACTCGCTGACCAGACAATTTGCATCTCACAGGCCGGCTGGAAACCACACGATTTAGGGACGTGCGTCCCAGCCCTCGCCCGATGCTCCACATATTGCTCTCTGGGAAAATTAACAGGCACTGGGCTGGCCACAGCCCTGCGAGCCACCACCACCACCCCCAGCACAGCAGCTCGCTGAGTGCCACCCACCCCTCCCTGTCACTCTAAAAGGTGGCTCAGGTGCCAGTGGCACCGATGTGGTTAGCGGCGAGCCGGGCTAATGGCTTTGGATGCAATTCCCGGTGGTGTGGGAAAGGCCCAGGCCAGCGGGTTCTCCCTGGGAGCATTCCCCGGGAGCCCTGCAGCGGCTGCTGGGGCACCCAACACGGAGCACCTGACACGGGGCATCCTGCAGGGGGGACACGCGGGGACGCCGCACGCAGAAACGCACCCCGCACAAGGTGACACACACACATGCAAACACGCAC